TGTTGTTTTCGTCTACCACCACGGTGGGTGCGCTTCCGAGGCAGGCCTCGACCAATCAAAAGCTCTTTCAGTCGACACACGAGGTCAGCGGTCAGATGCGTACGCTTGGCATTCATTGACAAAAGACGATCACGTGTGTATGCAAGCACAGGTCGGTTACCGCCGTGGGGGCTGCGTGTGTCACTGACCGTAACGTCGACTTGACCGAGCGATGAGCGTGGTGCCGACAAAGATGGCCGACCGTGTAGGCGGTGAATCTCACTAACCTTTGCAACAAAGAAAATCCAAAACAACAAAAGTCCAAAGTTAGGAGGGACACAAAACATATCCGAATCAAAGTAGTGGTCCATGGTGGATATCCAGTACAGAAAAAACAATACAAAAATCAGTCAAACACACATAAAATTGCATTCAATCAGGAGCCCGAGTCTATACGTGCCTGCAAGGCGTAGCCACGTTCTCCTAGTTTTCCAAGCTTATTAGTTGTTTTTTTTTATAAATCAGGGAAAGGTTTAATTGACCTTGGGCAAAACATTTGGAAATTATTTTTATACGTATTCAATTTATCATGACCAGTGTTTTGAAAATCTTTTATTCCAGGTTTTGTACTGACTATAATGTTCCGAGGGAAAGATAAAAAAGGCAATGAAATTTGATCATCAGTGGTCTTCAATAGAGGAGATTAGGTTTGCAATGGCAAGAAAAGATTAAAGCAGGCATAAATAAAATTTACCACTTAAATTTAGATTTTAAGGTTTGATGTCATATCTTGATTTTTATGACTGAGAATGATGTTAATATTTAAATATTTTCATTTTGTTAATTTTACTTTAAAAAATATTTCTGATGCATCTTGTGGTGACATACCTGATATCAAAATTCCATTGAAATATGTATGTAAATATTTTTTGTTTTTTTCCTATTCTTATGGCCTATGTTACCAGCTTTAAATTGAAATTAAGGTTGTTGTTTTTTATTTCAATCATATTTTTTTCTGTTGCTGACAATACTAAAATACATTTTAAAAAGTTGTTACTGATTGCAGTAAAGTCTTAAACATGCAACCTGCTAAGATTCTGGTCCACACAAACAAGTGTCCTGTATCATTCAGAATTCTTGTTGATTTCTTTACAAACTTTTTCTTTGTTTAGAAAATAAAATTAAGTAAGCCCATGGCTTGGGGGGGGACCAACTCCAGTCATGAACCAGCAGTTTGAGAAACACTGCTGCAAGCAATGACCACACATGATTCTTAGGGGTGATTAAGTTTGATATACCTGCATGTGTCTTGTCCAGATCCGGATAAAGAACCAACTCTGAATGAATACAGCTTTGTTTTTGCTGTGATGTTAAATTTATTTTTGGTACAGTCTTGTTCTTTTACACCCACGCCACCCTAGGGTTTAATAGTAAGGCTTCAATTCTCACTGTAAATTTTTTTAAAGTCAACATCAAATTTAAGCTTCTTGTTCACTTCATATTTTCCCAGAGAAAAAGTGATAATTGTCTTAATTCTCTTCACAAGAAAAATGAACAACAAAAATAACATGATTTTGCGTATCCATAAATTTGTTTGAAAGAAATTTCGGCGACGGAAAATTGATTGACGGAAGTTTAGTCGAACAGAAATTTGATCAAATTTTGTTTCAGTTCACACAATCAAATTTTTGCTTCAAATTTCTTTTTGAACACATTATTATGATTATTTTGGTTTATTATGTAGTATAGTGCATTCAAAAAAAAACTTGACGAAAATTGATTGTGTGAACTGAATAAAAAAATTCTGCGAAACTTCCGTCAATCAATTTTCCGTCTACGAAATTTCTTTCAAACAAATTTCTGGTAACCATGATTTTGTGAGGCTGGGAAAAAACATGGTAACATTTTTTTACAATTCAAATAATGTATTAATGAAACTATTCTGTCCAAGGTGAAGTTAATGATGTGGTGTATTTGAAATTCTAAACATTGATGCATCTAATGTTTACTTGTTTTATTTTTTTAGTTTTAAATTTTTCAGCTCAATGGAAAAGTCGATTAATTCCTTTATTTCTTCAGGCTTCTTTCTACCATATAAATACTGCAGTTCCAGAATTTTAAAATTTATTACTCAGGATGATTAATTTTGAAGAGTTTTGTATAAAGATTTTTGTAAACAAACATTCCATGGTGACTCAAAATTGCTTGCAGTGGTACGATTGTGCCTTCCATTTTTAAATCCTTTGTATTAACTTAGCTTTTGTGTGCTTAGGGAAAATCTTCGATTGGCTAATTGACCCATTTCTGTCAACCTTTGGAGCTGAAACTTAGCACATAGAATTGTTGCGGATGACAACACATTCTTTCAAATTTCAGCCTTGCCCCCAACTACCAAAAATCAGAGTTTTTTTTCCTGTTTTTCAAGGGGAAGATGAAGGAAATATGATGACACTGATTTCACTGAATATCCTCCCATAAAGATAACTGCGCTAAATGAGATGCTTAAAAAATATTGCAAGTGCATTTGGTGCGTAATATTTTTTTTTTTTTTTCTGTAAAAAATTTGTTAAATAAATCTGTAGTGTAAAAGCAGATGGGTCATTAAACTTAATAGAAAATAAAATAATAAAAAATGCATATAAAAAAGGATTTATAATCTATATGAAAAACTTTTTTATATAGTAATATTAGGGATTGTTTAATTTTTCTTTACATAATCTCCATTTTTCTAGTACCTAGGTGACGGTTTACTAATATTCCTGGCATCAAGGGTAGTATTTATTGTTGAAATGTCTTGTTGCTGTTAATGTGATACAATTAATGTGCCAATCAGGGTCAAAAGTGATGTATAGCCTGTTTCCTTTTGCCATTTTGTAAGATAATTTACTGCAGAAAAGGGGACATAATCAGAAACAGGCATTATGTTCGGCAAAATTATGTTTTATAAATTTGAATAAAAAAAATAAATAAATAAAACTCGTTCTACTTTCATTTTTACATATTTCTATAGGAAAAGAATAGTTGGAATTACAATAACATAATTATGTTTATATGCAGTTTCTGTAGTTAATGTAGGCTTCTCATTTCCAAATCAAAATACCTGCTAATTTATGTTAAAATAAATATGTTTATGTTTTCTTAAATTTCCTAATTATTCAATGTATTTCTGCCTTAACAAAATGAACATGAATGTATTTTAAGAAAATAACTTTTAAACATTATTTAAGATTTTCATTTGTTTTTCCACTAATTTTTTAAGTTGTCCATAACAGAAAAGATTGATAATTTTTTTTAGTTGTAATGTAAATTTATATATAAACTGCACCTTTGCTGTGATTGTGAAACCATGAGGTTATTTGAGACGTAAGGTTCTGAAGAGTTCTTTAGTGTCTCTGACCATTTAGCTTTCCCTTAAGCCTATGAAACATCTTTATCTATCCCTTAAGCCTATAAAACATCTTTATCTTTCCCCTAAGCCTACAAAACATCTTTATCTATCCCATAAGCCTACGAAGCAGATTTATCTATAAAACATCTTTATCTATCCCTAAAGTCTATAAAACATCTTTATCTATCCTTAAGCCAGGTGTGGGCTGCCTGCATGCGGCCTGACAACACTAGTATGCATCCCTCGAGGGCATTTAGAGATAAAAAATGGTGCTTCGTTTTTAAGTTATTTTGTTTTACAGAATTTCATGTACTGTTATGATTGTTTTAACAATGAAGTCGGTTTGTGCCTAAATTAAAACCATTGATAGATCTTGTAAACAAATTATTAAAAGATTGTGTCTACATTGTAAAATATAATTTATTAAGAAAAATAAAATTGCAATAATTGGTTATTTATAATTTTTTAAATAACCTATAAATAATTAAAAATCCTTATCGTGATAGGTTGCTGTAACCATAGTGGATACAATATTATGCGGCCCCCCCCAATAGCTTTACATTTGTCAATGTGACCCTACGCTCAAATAGTTTTCCCACCCCCGCCTTAAGCCTATGAAACAGCTTTATATTTCCCTTAAGCCTATGAAACATCTGAAGTCGGCATGCTGGCTCTTAGATATTAAAATTTAGGGTAGTAAATATTTAAAAATTTGATCATTTAAACAGATTGTCTAATAGATATTCATATAAAAATTCCATGTAATATTTATGATTGTCAATGAACAAGGTACTTGCCACAAGACCAGCCAATAGATCTGGTCGGTCTTAATTTCAGACATCTTATCTTAGACTTTTTTGAAGATGTAGATTTTTGTTAAAAAATAAAGCTTGCCGACACTTGAATAGAATAGTAATTAGATTGTAACAAGGTGTTTTATCAATTTAATATCTGGTTAAGAATAAACTTTCAGATCTACCAAAGGTTTTCATCCTGTTAGTAAAACTCAAAGATATCTCAATTTATTTTGTTATTTGAACTTAATATGTATCTCGTATTCCTTTTATCTCGCAAAAAAAAAAAAACAACATTATGTATTTTTCAGTTTTTATTGTAAAGTTTGATTCTGACCAAGTTTGGTGTTAATGGATGCTTGACAATGTACTAAATTAAATGTTAATTTTTTTTTAAATTCTGTACTTGTTCTAGTCAATGCTGATACTTGTTTTCCTACAAATGGGAGCTTATAAGCTGGGCATCTGAACATCAAGGGAAACCATTCGTCAAATGATCATCATTCCTTAGAATTGACTTTTGCCTACATAGCTATTAAAAATATCAATTTTGTTCTTGATAAAAAATAATTAAAATATTAAATCACTCAAAATTTGGATGTGGATGAATGATTTTTTAAAAATTTCTTTTAATACTGGTATGCAAAAGATTCAGAGGACCTAAGTAAGTAGAATACTATATTTTTTACAATTTGAACTGTTTTAAGCCCCTTAAAAAACATATATATAAAACATTTTTAAAAGTTGATGGATATGGTGTGCAATACAATTAATTTCAGGCCTCACAAGAGATATGACACTTTTAAAAAGTTGATTATGCTAACTTTCACATGAAATTGTGTTTTTTGTAAATAAAGACAACAACGTTTAGAAACCTATAAAATGTACTTTAATTTCATTTTACGATGAATTTGTTAATCCCATTCAAATATTCAGCAAAACATTCGTTTCCACAAAACATCACAAGAATTTCATGTCAAAATGAAGTAGCTTGAAAGATGAGATGTAAACAAGGAGAAAGAGTCCAAACCTCATGATACAAGTACAAGACAATTATGTATGTTTATTCTAATTAAGTACTGGACACACGTTCATACAGGTGATACACATAATTGACCAAAGGAGAAAACATCTGGGAGAGTATGGCATTTACATGAATTGTACAAAGCTGGAAATGTCAAATAAGAATTTCTCTTCATGATTCCCTATGAGCCGCATCAGCATGGGTAGCTATTTAACAGCATGGGTTGCTAAAGTAACGATGTGTAGCTATGAATTTGTTTTTTTTAAAATATATCTTGTTTTTTCAAATGGAGGAATTGATTTTTGTTGACCCTATGGGCAAAATAATAATTCAGTAGTGATTCAATTTAAAAACAAACAGCAACTTACACGTAACACATTCATACTCTTGAAACATTTAACAATGAAAATGTACAGATCCAGAGAGAAATGACTTTAAGCCATTACACAATACTTCATATAATAAAACTTAGTTATAAATTGTATTTAAAATAACTCAATTATACATTTAATAAGAAACTGATAGCGGAATTGGGAATGAAGAAAACCTTTATAATACATGTTCGAATATTGGGGGGAAAATGTATGTCTGAAATAAGTAGACGTTTAACATGAAACTAGATTTGGGCAGATCTACTGACATTTTGTTTGATAACATGGGTCTTAACCACACGGAAATAGGAAGAAAATTTTATGTTTAGTAATTTTTTTTAAACGGCAGAAAGTGGAGAATGAAAAAACAATACATTTTAATAAAGGTGGCAAGTGTCTGACATAACTGAATTTCCCGTTCAGTTGGAGCTTATTTTTTGTTTAAAGTTTATATTTCTTAAATGACTAAACCGTACACAATATCAACTGACTAACAGATCTGTGGGTCTTCCATAACACGATGTAAAAAGAAGAGGGGAAGAAAAAAAGACCATAAAGACTGAGGTTGGTCCTTGTACAAATGCACTGTGTAATATTGCCAGGGTCGGTTCATGTGGTCATTCATGGTGACAAGGAAAACCCGTAAGAACATTTCAAATTTATGAAGGAAAAAAAAAAGGTGTAACAAAAATATTGGTATCCACATTATTTACAATACAAATAAGTGCATAGTTGACACAGTCTTCGGATGGTTTTATCCACCAACAGAAAGAGTAGTTTAGCAGCGAGCTTTGCATAAAGGTTTCACATTGGGAAGTTGTTAACTGGCACATTTCATTGAAGGACTGGCTGGATATTGCGTCTTAATTATAAAAATACAATAATAAAAATGTATTAGTTTTAGCTTTTGCTTCTAAAGATGTCCTTTTAATAAAAGATAACATTTTAAAAAATAACAAGCAGACAGTGTATTTGTGAATATATTATGTATATCTATATACACTTGTAATGCTATGAAGCGTATCTGTAATTTGTTTGTTTGTTCACTAAACACATGTTAAGATTATTTGCCATCGTTCATGATAAACATCATATTAAATATAAAACATACCAAAGGGATAACAGAACACATAAACATCACCAGTATCTACATTGTTGCAATACAATCAATATTTCCCCTATAAATACATTATACAGAAGATGTTTATCTCAGGGCTGGGCAGGAGAAAATGTTTAGGTTTCAATGAAATAGCTTTAGAGCAGTGATTTTCAACCTTCATAATGCCGTGACCCTTTAATACAGTTCCTCGTGTTGTGATGCCCCACCCCCCCCCGACCATAAATTATTTTCGTTGCTACTTCATAAATGTGTTTTCCTGTGGTCTTAGGCGACCCCTGTGTAAGGGTCCTTGGACCCCCAAAGGGGTCACGGACCCACAGGTTGAGAATCGCTGCTTTAGAGTGAAAAGGTCGAAACTAGCAGTGGAACATAGTCAATTCTTAACTGAGGAACGGTCACAATGAAGTACAAATATTAGTGTACACAAGACTACATAGTAGCACTGAAAAGATATTAAGAACTTAACAAAATACAATTTAGAAATATTGTTTTCACAAAATTCTTGCCGGCTCATCAATAGCCAGCTACTGCAAATGTTTTTCCTGTTCTGTCCTTCGATATTTTAGGTACATGAATTTAAAAATTGGCTTTGATCAACAATCCATGAACAAAAGTTTATAAGAATTAATTAACATTAAGCAGAAGACAATAATAGGGATCACTCGATGTCCCCATATTTTCCACATGCAGAACGTGAATTGTTTCTTTCTTGTAAATTTAGTATGGGCATTTCAGCTCCTGTTCATGTTTCTAGGAATGAACAGACCATAACATATGACAAGACCAACTGTTATTTTTATGAACACACAACCAGGAGTTCTTTTCCAATGGTTCTCCTCACCAGACACACCAGGGTCATTTACAATTGTGAAGGGACATGCGAGGAAATCCAGGTGACGTCCAAAAAGAGATGTCATCATAGCCGTTCATTCTCTACGAAAATCAGCGAAATCAGCATGAACAATACGCTTAATTATTTTTTTTTTCATGGATCTGCCAAGTGCTAATGTGTCGTACAAGCACCTTGTGGGTGCTTGCGTTTAAAGCAATGTTTGATTTAAAATGTGATTAGCTTCTTTTAATCAACATTTCAGCTTCAAAAATTTAGTACTTTTTAGGATTTAGAAGACTGATAGAGTTAGATTGATCTGGTCGCAACACTAGAGTCAGCTAAGACTAATACCACTCGGCTCTTGACTGAAATATTTCCATAGGCAAATGTGTGTGTGTATGAGCACAAAATGAGGTCAGATTAATACCCACCTCGCCAAACACAAAAAACTTGACTGAGCTTCACTTGATAGTATTAAGATGAAAATAGTTGAAGTAATGGTCCTTTTAGTGACCTTTAAATAAGCAGCCATGATGTCAACAAGTTGTCGTGTCTCTCTGCGGGAAAAAGGTCTCACCATTTCTAATAACTTTTACTGTGATGTACTAAGCGTGTCCTTGACATTAAAACTAAGGTAAAACATGAAGACTGCAGAAAATTTCAGGCCAAAATTTTTTGTTAACAAGAGCCATAGCGAGTAAAGTTGAATTTTCTCTATGTAATTTTTGTCAAAAATATTTGTTTTTCCTTTTAAAGGTTGCTTCCAAGTCCAGTCTAAATTCGTCGACATGCTAACCTTTTTAAAAAAAACTGTTAAAAAATCATTGCAGATGTTTTCCCCTATATATCAGAACGAGTAATTCTCAGAACTTGTCATTCTCAATGAAAAATCCAATGCCCTTTGAATTTAAAACACAGCTGTGAATTAATTATGCATTGTCTCAAGTCTGTGAGGTCATTTTATTAGCACGTGTTTGACCTTCCTCTATCAACAAGACGAGCCACAGCATTGAATACTGACAACCTTTAGTACAATTTGAACATCAAATCAAAGTTTTAAGGTCTTGCTAGGACATCAGGTCTTGCTAGGACATCAGGTCTTGCTAGGACATTACATGCTGCAGGCACCCCTCTTTATTGGCCGTGTGTTTCTAGCAGAAATTATTGAGTTTCTAAGAATGCCTGATGCCAAAACACTTGTCTTGATTCCAAGAAATATGGTTCCTGGTGTCATGGTAGATCCTACTGCTGGGCAGGAGGTCAGATGTTTAAAATCCGTTGAGACGTCCCACAGTGCTGTCAGCTCTCAAAATCGTTGAGAAATGTGTTAAGAAAATCAAACGACGGCCTTGAATGAGCATTACTTTGCCAACAGGTGAGCATGACATCATAGACCTCTTGTGGGCAATTGTCTGGTTTAGGCATACGATATCCATCCTGAACACTCTCAAAGGCCTCTTTACTTGCCTTGTCTGAGGAAATAAAGAGATAGTCATTTGACTTGATTAACTTTAAATAGACTACAAGGCAAAATATTATACAAATTAATTGAAGACATGTCAAAACTAACAAATGGAGGTTTTTTCTCCTGGCAATAAAATTTTTCAGTCACATTTCAACAAATGTAGTTATATTTTTTTAGTGTTTAGCTCACTCCTGCCTAACCTACTTTTGATGCATAAGGCGGACAACTTCATTTATTGTAAATGTAAATGCTTAAATATAGATATGTATGTAAAATGAAACAAAATTCAATGATCAGTGCAAACTGGAATAAAGCCATTTTATCATTTCTGTAAATAATTTTTAAATTATGATATCTAATGTGTAGATCTGTCAGCATCATAAAAAAATTGTATATATAATTAATTCTGGCTCTCAAGAAGGAAGCACTTTACATTTTTACAATGTCCATCTCAGCTTTTAACTTGGTTAAGTCACAAATTATAGTTTTTAATATTTATTTATTTAGGCATTTTTATTTATCGCTTACCTTAAAGCTCTAAGCGCTTTACAATTATTAAAAACATGTAAACTAAGTAAAATAAAAATGAGACATTAGGATAGTAACTACTATACTATAGAAACAATTAAAATGGCTATAAAATGAGGACACTTTGGCACATTTTGGCCTATATTACCGGATTAACCCGAGACAGAAAATGAGGCAGGGCAAGGAGGGTGCATCACAGGTCATAGGCGGACCTAAACAGATGGGTTTTAAGGGACTTTTTAAAAGTGGACGAGGTTTCACAATGACGGATATGGAAAGGGGGGGGGGAAGTTCCAGAACGTGGGCCCATGGAAGTAGAAGGAGCGTTCACCGATGGTCTTAGTTTTGGTTCTATATGAAGATATAGTCACAGATTTAAACTGCCATGTCGCAAATTCTTTTAAGGTGTTGGAGAAATATTTAAAGTTTAAAAAATCAATTAGGAAAAAAAAATTAGTTGCATCAGTTCTATTAACTGGAAACAAAAAATAACTTTTTTTTTTTGTTTGGAAGTTTGCCTCCAACAACAATAATTTGATTTAACCTTGCATTCATCACAGAACAAACTACAAATACAAGCATACATACCTTCATACGGCTCTTTTCCATGTGTGAATATTTCCATGAGAACTATGCCAAAAGACCAAACATCTGCCTTGGTGCTGTACTTGTTGTATAATAAAACCTCAGGTGCCATCCATTTTATGGCCATTTTGAGGCCTGTAGATATTCACAAACAACATCGATAAGTTCATCATAAAGTTAGGGCAACATCGATAAGTTCATAATGAGGTTAGGACGACATGGATAGGTTCATAATGAGGTTAGGGCAACATTGATAAATTCATCAAAAGGTTAGGACAACATCGCTAAGTTCATCATAAGGTTAGGACAACATCGCTAAGTTCATCATAAGGTTAGGACAACATCGCTAAGTTCATCATAAGGTTAGGCCCATCTCATTTTAAACCAGTAAAATGGCAACAATTACATACCCTGACATCTTTGTAAGTTGAAACTACACATCTGATTTACTAAATATGGTAACAAAGCAGGGAAACTGCAAAAAACATTCCTACAAAATAAAAGTGAATCCTCTGATAACAATGACTGCCAATAAAAGTGAATCCTCTGATAACAATGACTGCCAATAAAAGTGAATCCTCTGATAACAATGACTGCCAATAAAAGTGAATCCTCTGATAACAATGACTGCCAATCAGTTGAAAGCAGCAGTAAATCCACAACACAACTCTGTCCAAAGTAAGAAGACACAAACTGGTTCAAGCTGAAATACACCGCTCTAGGCTGTAAAAATGTACCTCGTCTGAAGTTAAAATCTGGGTCATCAACAGCTTTTGTCATCCCGAAGCCTGCCACTTTGACTCTGTTGGCGTCTCCCACAAGAATGTTTCTGGCCCCAAGATTTCTATGCACAAATTTTTCTTTCTCCATGTAAGCCATTGCATCAGCAACCTGTTGATACAAGAAAAGTTTTAAAATTATTTGTGTATTTGCACAAACATCCAAAGAAGTTATAAACTTTTTTGTGTATTTGCACACACATCCATAGAACAGTTATAGAATTCTTTGTGTATTTGCACACACATCCATAGAACAGTTATAGAATTCTTTGTGTATTTGCACACACATCCATAGAACAGTTATAGAATTCTTTGTGCATCTACACACATATCCATTTTTTTTAGAGCAAAAATGAAAAATGGTATTAAATCTATTTTAAATATATATTTGATTATTTTCATTTAAAAATGTATTCCTTTCAGATCCACTAAAACTTAAAACAATTATTTTAACTGTTTTGAAAATGGAACACTTTTGTATCCTAATGCTTTTAGGAATTTTCAAAGCATGGATTGGAATTCTTCAATTTAATAGTTAGCCTGTATTTAATAATGACACATCTATTCAATATGAACACATGTCCTTGTTTTGTTTTGTTTTACTTTTAGGATTCAGGGTATTAAATAAGCAACATTTTTTTTTTTTTAAATTTCAACTTTACATAAATCAAAAATTGTTATAGGGTATTCAAAACTCAAAAATTTGCGGCAAGGTGGTTAATATGGTATTTCTTACCTGAGCACCGATGTAGATCAGTTGTGAAAGGCCTAAACCAGCACCGGTTTCCCTGAGATACTTTGACAGCTGTCCCCTGGGCATGTACTCCATCAAAAGATAGACGGGTTCCACTTCGCTGCACACGCCTCGGAGTTCAAGAATGTTCGGGTGCTGTAATGTCTTAAGTATCTGAGCCTCGTCCAGGAATGCTGCTGTTGTCACACAGTTAATTGTTTGTATTTTTACCGCAACATCAGCTGAGCCTTGCCACTTTGCTGAATAAGGAAAAAAATAATAAGTTAATTGCAAGTTTATAAATAAGACCGGTTTATAGTCCTTTTATTGTTAACATCTACAATTTACTTTAATTTTAAAATTTTAAAAGTATATATTTTAGCATTGATATTTAATTTAATTGCAAGGGAAATAAAAATTGTAACAAGGAAAAGTTGTCTGTCCTAAAAGGTTGTTACATTTTTCAAAATTTTGAACTAAACATAAATAATAATATTTAACAAGGTAAAAAAAAAGGGAGAAATACTCATTTTATAATAAATTTATTTATGTTTTTAAGTAGAGTTACTAAACTTGCCAGAAGAGCATATGATCTTGAAATCATGTACAGGCCAAGTTTCTAAAGAAAGTCTGGACAAAAAATACTTTGACCACCCTACGAGGGAAGTGGCAGTTAGGACATTACAAGCAGCTTCTCGAACTACTTTAGCCACCCGTCCCAATGTAGTGATCAGGTCGATAGACCCTCTGGTTTGACTTTTTGTGTGCGCCACTCAAATATGGCCACAGGATCAAAAGACTTGTGGTTTTTAAAAATGAAAGGACCGTCAAGAAAGTACTGACCGAGCCACACTTCAGCAAATTGTCCACTGCCGAGTTTCTTAATGAGATGCAAGGTGTTTCGCTCAGTCATGAATTCATCGTCTTTTCCACGTTCCATTGCCCATATTAAGGAACGAGGCTTAGCGCACGTTGAGGCCAGTTTACAGCACAGCCCATCGACAGAGTCTGTTAGAACAGAAATGCAAAAACCATTTAAAATGTATTATTATAAGGTGGTTTTATATAGCGCAGTACTCCAGCCTAGTACTCCAACGAGCAATTTCAGAAACGTATACATTTAAAAACAATAATTGTTGAGAAGCTGTAATTCTATGTGAGCGATTAACAAAGGTATTACTGTCCTTACTTGTCAATCTTGTTTTAGCAAAGAAACATAAAGAAAATCAAGAGATGACTGTTAAAAAAATAAATAATCAAAAGCATTATTTTTACAAAATTTTAAGTACAGTACATTGCCAGGGAAAGGGTCCTTCGACCCCCAAACGGGTTGCAACCCACAGGTTGAAAACCGCTGTTTTAGATCCTAATGGAAACTCAACTTTAAATCTTACCCTCTTAAAAACCAGGCAGGGTAGCCCACCCCTATCTAGGGCAGCAGGCTTTAGACAGGCATGCTATCAAAATCAAGAAACCCATGTTCTAATGAACCAGAGCTTAGTTCCAACAATTATTCCCTGGATTAAGTCTCACCTTGGTAATGCTTGACCAGTTCGGCCAGAGACTGGAAAGCTCTTTGCTTGGTGATGAAGTAGCACTCTCTGCCGTTAGACATCCTCTTTGTGATGATCTTGTAATGTTTCACAAGGTAGCCCCGCAGTTCATCACAGTCTCTTACACTCAACGTATAGGTATCTGAGAGTCATATTAAACATCTTATAATGAACAGTTTTAGATGAGGAGCCATATTTTGTACACATCTTGATTTAACCAAAGTACAACCGCCAGACAGAATGGACAAGTGCAACCACCAGACAGAATGGACAAGTACAACCACCAGACAGAATGGACAAGTACAACCACCAGACAGAATGGACAAGTACAACCACAACACAGAATGGACAAGTACAACCACCAGACAGAATGGACAAGTACAACCACCAGACAGAATGGACAAGTACAACCACCAGACAGAATGGACAAGTACAACCACCAGACAGAATGGACAAGTACAACCACCATACAGAATGGAGAAGCAAAACAAAACAAAACATTTATGTATTAATATAAGAAACCAACTAGTACATGGCATAGAGTCTTGCTGGTAATATGGCATAGTCTTGATGGTAATATGGCATGGCATAGAGTCTTGCTGGTAATATGGCATAGTCTTGCTGGTAATATGGCATGGCATAGAGTCTTGCTTGTAATATGGCATGGCAGAGTCTTGCTGGTAACATGGCATCCAGTCTTGATGGTCATATGGCATGGCATAGTCTTTTGCTGGTAATATGGCATAGAGTCTTGCTGGTACTATGGCATAGTCTTACTGGTACTATGGCATAGTCTTGCTGGTAATATGGCATGGCATAGAGTCTTGATGGTAATATGGCATACAGTCTTGATGGTCATATGGCATGGCATAGAGTCTTGCTGGTAATATGGCATACAGTCTTGATGGTCATATGGCATGGCATAGAGTCTTGCTGGTAATATGGCATACAGTCTTGATGGTCATATGGCATGGCATAGAGTCTTGCTGGTAATATGGCATAGAGTCTTGCTGGTAATATGGCATAGAGTCTTGCTGGTTATATGGCATAGAGTCTTGCTGGTCATATGGCATAGTCCTGCTGGTGATATGGCATGGCATAGAGTCTTGCTGGTAATATGGCATACAGTCTTGATGGTAATATGGCATGGCATAGAGTCTTGCTGGTAATATGGCATAGTCTTGCTGGTAATATGGCATGGCATAGAGTCTTGCTTGTAATATGGCATGGCAGAGTCTTGCTGGTAACATGGCATCCAGTCTTGATGGTCATATGGCATGGCATAGTCTTTTGCTGGTAATATGGCATAGAGTCTTGCTGGTACTATGGCATAGTCTTACTGGTACTATGGCATAGTCTTACTGGTACTATGGCATAGTCTTGCTGGTAATATGGCATGGCATAGAGTCTTGCTGGTAATATGGCATACAGTCTTGATGGTCATATGGCATGGCATAGAGTCTTGCTGGTAATATGGCATACAGTCTTGCTGGTCATATGGCATGGCATAGAGTCTTGCTGGTAATATGGCATAGGGTCTTGCTGGTCATATGGCATAGTCCTGCTGGTGATATGGCATGGAGTCTTGCTGGTGATATGGCATGGCATAGAGTCTTGCTGGTAATATGACATAGTCTTGCTGGTGATATGGCATGGCATAGAGTCTTGCTGGTAATATGGCATACAGTCTTGATGGTCATATGGCATGACATATAGTCTTGCTGGTAATATGGCATACAGTCTTGATGGTCATATGACATGGCATAGAGTCTTGCTGGTAATATGGCATAGGGTCTTGCTGGTAATATGGCAAAGAGTCTTGCTGGTAATATGGCAAAGAGTCTTGTTGGTAATATGGCAAAGAGTCTTGCTGGTAATATGGCAAAGAGTCTTGCTGGTAATATGGCAAAGAGTCTTGCTGGTAATATGGCAAAGAGTCTTGCTGGTAATATGGCAAAGAGTCTTGCTGGTAATATGGCAAAGAGTCTTGCTGGTAATATGGCAAAGAGTCTTGCTGGTAATATGGCAAAGAGTCTTGCTGGTAATATGGCAAAGAGTCTTGCTGGTAATATGGCATAGTCTTGCTGGTAATATGGCATAGAGTCTTCCTGGTAAAATGGTATACAGTCTTGCTGGTAATATGGCATAGTCTTGCTGGTGATATGGCATAGAGTCTTGCTGGTAATATGGCATAGAGTCTTCCTGGTAAAATGGTATACAGTCTTCCTGGTAATATGGCATAGATTCTTGCTGGTAATATGGCATAGAGTATTCCTGGTAATATGACATACAGTCTTGCTGGTAATATGGCATACAGTTTTGCTGGTTATATGACATAGAATCTTGCTGGTAATATGGCACAGAATCTTGCTGGTAATATGGCATAGAATCTTGCTGGTAACATGGCATAGAGTCTTGCTGGTAAGTTTCTTAATGACTAGATTTCAAATCAAAAACTAATTATTTGATATAAGAATGAGAAGTAAATCAACCTACCTGGAGACATCTCTCCTAATCGCACCAAAAATGTGCCTTTTGGATAGTCAGGTGCAAGCAGCCATTCTTCAGAAGCATTCCGGCTGACTTTTCCAAAATACCAACTGGGGTGCAAAAATGTAATTCACTTAGTGAAAGATGTTAACTTTATAGCACATATAACTATTTGTACTAAAAAAATTATGTTTAGAACTTAGAAGGATATTCTTTTCCTTGAAAGAAATAAGTCTTGAAATAAGTCTTGTTATTTCTAATATTATATAAGACAAATGACATTTGATGGACAATGGCTAATTGAAAAAGTCCACTTGACCACGCAGCTTACTCATGAGCTCTATGTCTTTGTTCTCTGGGTGACGGTGGGTACAAACCCCGTGGTGGAGAGGACTGGTACAGGTGGCCACTGTTGCCGGCCGGTGGCCAGTGGTCTTCTTCTATGGTGTCCGCCAGACTCAACAGGATGAAGTTGTCCGGAAAGCCACCGACCCCATTCTCAGGCACCTGGGTGCTTTTGCGACACATTGGGCACGGGAAGTAGCCGGGCTGGTTTCCGGGGTTACGGCGGACGTAGTCCTGCAAAGAAAGATTAGCGATATCAAATAACCATTGTAATCATACAGGTTGATTTTTTTTTTTTAAAAGATCATTCAACTATTATAGGGCAAAGGGAGAGAATTTAAAAAATGAAGAAAAGAAAACAGTTATTCCTCATCTGATCTATTCTACCAACTCTTAAATAACAGCTTCAGCTCTACTCACATCTTTCAACATTCTGCATTCAATCATTTGGCATCATAAAAATGAGCCCAGATTTTGAACCAGGAACAAGAATAGTGTAAGGCAAAAAATATTCAATAATCTAGTGCCAGCTAGTGTCACACTTCTGAGAGGCCTTCACAGTTCATTAAATAGAGATAAAAACAAGTGTATCTGGCAGGTCAAAGATACGTTTTGGTTAAACGTTAGAAGTCTATCAAATTTAAATATACTCTGAATGAATACTCATAAAAAGAAGCTAAGCAATGTCCACCAATAAATGTGAAAGGTAGAGAAATGGTTTAAAACCTGGCACACATCATAGTGCAGAGAAACAAAAACAACAAGCCATCCATACTTGCCCATGTAGCAAAGAATAACTCATAAGAAGAATGCAGCTTAGCGGAGATGAGATCCAAAAGACAACCAATGGCGTTAAGACCTGTGATTGCAACCAACAACAAAAGACAACCAGTGGAGTTAAGACCTGTGATTGCAACCAACAACAAAATACAACCAGTGGAGTTAAGACCTGTGATTGCAACCAACAACAAAAGACAACCAGTGGAGTTAAGACCTGGTGGAGTTCAGACCTGTGATTGCAACCAACAACAAAAGACAACCAGTGGAGTTAAGACCTGTGATTGCAACCAACAACAAAATACAACCAGTGGAGTTAAGACCTGTGATTGCAACCAACAACAAAATACAACCAGTGGAGTTAAGACCTGTGATTGCAACCAACAACAAAATACAACCAGTGGAGTTCAGACCTGTGATTGCAACCAACAACAAAATACAACCAGTGGAGTTAAGACCTGTGATTGCAACCAACAACAAAATACAACCAGTGGAGTTAAGACCTGTGATTGCAACCAACAACAAAATACAACCAGTGGAGTTCAGACCTGTGATTGCAACCAACAACAAAAGACAACCAGTGGAGTTAAGACCTGTGATTGCAACCAACAACAAAATACAACGTACCTTGAGACATAGCTCACAGAAGGAGTGTAAACAAGGCAGAGCCTTAGGACGCCTCAGCGGCTCAAGACATATTTTACAAGATAAGAAGTCTTCTTGCAGTTTTTCCTTCAAACTATCGTTGGAGTGGGGTCTTGCCATTGTTAGCCATTCTGAGGAGGGAGAAACAAAATATTTTAGACTGACAGTTTTTAAAATTGGCCATGAAGTGTGAAAGATGAGCAGTATGATAGGTATCATGGCTGGCAAAAGTATTAATTAATTTCCATCAAACACATTTCTCTCCCTGTATATGCCCTCTCCCTTTTCCAACAGCGAAACAAAAATCTGTGATTAAAAAACATCACATTTACATGGGCTAATCTGTGATTATAAAACATTACATTTACATGGACTAATCTGGGACTATAAAACATTACATTTACATGGACTAATCTGTGACTATAAAACATTACATTTACATGGACTAATCTGTGACTATAAAACATTACATTTACATGGACTAATCTGTGATTATAAAACATTACATTTACATGGACTAATCTGTGATTATAAAACATCACATTTACATGCAATTCTATTAGTGTGAGTGAAAAAAAAAGGTTTTTAAAGAGAACTGAGGAACTTGTGAATCACATCTGGCTCTTAAGTCTTGGCCCCACACTAACATTGTGCGTGATGGCCATTGATATACATCTAAAAGGAAAATCAATGATCATTTGCTTAGATTAATGGCACTATGACTTAGATGGAACAAAAGTAAAAGACAAGTTATTTCAAGGTGTAATCAATTAGTGACTTATCTCCGGCATGGAGTTCTAACAAAAGAATATTAGTAAATCCACTTAAATCCATTTAATGACAGTAATAAAAAAAAAGAAATTTATTTAACTGAAAATATTCACGATTTACATCAGTCTTTGTAAAGAGCTAAATTTCAAAATAATATGTAATAATTATATCACCAGCTGGTCCACATGTACACAAATTCATTTTCAATGCTCTATTCCTTCGAAGCCACTAGAAAAATTAGAAGAAGTTGCCAGACATCTCGACACATTCAGTACTTGACTCATGTTGAGTTCCAACCGGATTCAACAAATTACGACGGATTCAACAAATCATGACCGCCACGGCGGGGCCACTTTAAAATAAGCCACTCCTGATGACAATGGTTCACAAACACTGATCTTGTTGTTTTCCACTCGTGTATTACTTAAGTTGTGTGTATTACTTAAGTTGTGGTAAGTGATAGGTGTGCGCGAATGTTGTTGTCCCAATGATTGAAATGTTTTGACACGTTAAATTGATTAAACACCTAAAACATTAAACATTCCCACACCCAACCCTCATTTAGCTTATTTAAGTTTGACTTCTTTATTCACTAAATTATTACTGTGATGATAAAAATCAGGACAGTCTGACTCACACTTCAAAGGAAGTCTGTCATAATCAATAGCCATCTAATAGTTGAACACCCCCCCCCCCCCCCAAAGGCATTTATAACAATTTCAAAATTGAATTTAAAAAATATTCCTAATATTGGAGTGAGGGTTGCCCGACAGAGAGAGTTGTCTTATCTTAGGGTGAGGGTTGCTCTATGCCCGTTCAATGTTAAGTTTGTTAGCAACAACTTTAAGAGACTGAGTATAACTAACTTTAAGAGACAGAGTATAACTTGCACAAACAACGGGGCAATATGTATATTCAATTAAAAAAAATGGGGCAATATGTATATTCAATCAATGTTAAAGTCTATTCCGTCAATGTTAAAGTCTATTCAGTCAATGTTAAAGTCTATTCAGTCAATGTTAAAGTCTATTCAGTCCATGTTAAAGTCTATTCAGTCAATGTTAAGGTTTATTCAGTCAATGTTAAGGTTTATTCAGTCAATGTTAAAGTCTGGTTTATGTTGAGTGATGAAACACTGTCCTCATGACAAGTGCTCTCATTGTATGTCTTATGAAGATTGTGTTGTAATGGAAAGTTTCCTGTCTTTTGTGTTGTGTCTCAGGCCAGCTGCCAGCTAAGTTTTCTGTGCTGTGTCTCAGGCCAGCTAAGTTTTCTGTCTTCTGTGCTGTGTCTCAGGCCAGCTAAGGTTCATGCTCTTTATATTATATATGATAGATCAACATCTCTGAACACCTTTAAAAGATGTATTTAATATTGTAAAAATTTATTAATGAAATGGAAACTACAACATCAGGCAATAACTGTTAGATCATTTTAAAAGATCAACTTCAGGCAATAACTGTTTGCTCATTTTAAAAGATCAACTTCAGGTAATAATATGTTAGATCATTTTAAAAGATCAACTTCAGGCAATAACTGTTAGCTCATTTTAAAAGATCAACTTCAGGCAATAACTGTTAGCTCATTTTAAAAGATCAACTTCAGGCAATAACTGTTAGCTCATTTTAAAAGATCAACTTCAGGCAATAACTGTTAGATCAGTCTGAAGTGAATTGGTTTTTATGGAGACTTTCATTGGACAATGTTTACACCAGTGCACTCATTGGTCAGCACATGGCTAGTTCAGAGTCAGAGTGAACAACTGGACATTTCCTGTAGCATAATCATCAACATCTGGCCAAGGGAGCCCTCCACCTCCCACCCCACATGTTACCAATACTTGCTACTCTGTAAGGGGCTGAGGCCTGTTAAGTGGCAATTTCATGTGTCAGTCAAACTTAAAGGAAAACCACAAAACATGTTGCCCCCCCCCCTCTCATAGTACAGAATTAATTTTAAAACAACACACACCACATTGCCTAAGATAAACTAACATCATTGGTGACTTCTTCCCACCCAGCTTTCTAGGATAAAGCTATCACTTGGTTTTTTGGTTCAACATCATTGTTATGCCTGTGTGTGTTTGTGTGTGTGTGTGGGGGGGGGTGGGGGAAGCAAATGTTCTTGCTGAGATGATCTTGTTTGTATGTGTGTAGTGAGCTGAGTGTTTGTGTCAATGAGCTGCTGTCCTGTAGTGTGCTGAGTGTTAGTGTCAATGAGCTGCTGTCCTGTAGTGTGCTGAGTGTTAGTGTCAATGAGCTGATGTCCTGTAGTGAGCTGAGTGTTAGTGTCAATGAGCTGATGTCCTGTAGTGTGATGAGTGTTAGTGTCAATGAGCTGCTGTCCTGTAGTGTGCTGAGTGTTAGTGTCAATGAGCTGATGTCCTGTAGTGAGCTGAGTGTTAGTGTCAATGAGCTGATGTCCTGTAGTGTGATGAGTGTTAGTGTCAATGAGCTGCTGTCCTGTAGTGTGCTGAGTGTTAGTGTCAATGAGCTGATGTCCTGTAGTGAGCTGAGTGTTAGTGTCAATGAGCTGATGTCCTGTAGTGAGCTGAGTGTTAGTGTCAATGAGCTGATGTCCTGTAGTGTGCTGAGTGTTAGTGTCAATGAGCTGCTGTCCTGTAGTGTGCTGAGTGTTAGTGTCAATGAGCTGATGTCCTGTAGTGAGCTGAGTGTTAGTGTCAATGAGCTGCTGTCCTGTAGTGAGCTGAGTGTTAGTGTCAGTGAGCTGCTGTCCTGTAGTGAGCTGAGTGTTAGTGTAAGTGAGCTGCTGTCATGTAGTGAGCTGAGTGTTAGTGTCAATGAGCTGCTGTCCTGTAGTGAGCTGAGTGTTAGTGTCAATGAGCTGATGTCCTGTAGTGAGCTGAGTGTTAGTGTCAATGAGCTGCTGTCCTGTAGTGAGATGAGTGGTAGTGTCAATGAGCTGATGTCCTGTAGTGAGCTGAGTGTTAGTGTCAATGAGCTGCTGTCCTGTAGTGTGCTGAGTGTTAGTGTCAATGAGCTGCTGTCCTGTAGACTCGACTCACAATCACAGTTAGAGCTGATGTCCTGTAGTGTGATGAGTGTTAGTGTCAATGAGCTGCTGTCCTGTAGTGTGCTGAGTGTTAGTGTCAATGAGCTGATGTCCTGTAGTGAGCTGAGTTTTAGTGTCAATGAGCTGATGTCCTGTAGTGAGCTGAGTGTTAGTGTCAATGAGCTGATGTCCTGTAGTGAGCTGAGTGTTAGTGTCAATGAGCTGCTGTCCTGTAGTGAGCTGAGTGTTAGTGTCAATGAGCTGATGTCCTGTAGTGAGCTGAGTGTTAGTGTCAATGAGCTGATGTCCTGTAGTGAGCTGAGTGTTAGTGTCAATGAGCTGCTGTCATGTAATGAGCTGAGTGTTAGTGTCAATGAGCTGCTGTCCTGTAGTGAGCTGAGTGTTAGTGTCAATGAGCTGATATCCTGTAGTGAGCTGAGTGTTAGTGTCAATGAGCTGCTGTCCTGTAGTGAGCTGAGTGTTCGTGTCAATGAGCTGCTGTCCTGTAGTGAGCTGAGTGTTAGTGTCAATGAGCTGCTGTCCTGCTTTAACAAGGGAGACCAAAATTAGTTGCTTTTAGCAGGCATGTTGAGACCAACAGGAACCTTTAAAATTAAACCCTATTGTACAGAATACACGAAATTCATCCATTCTTTTAAAATAAAAAATGGATAAGTTAAGAGTAGCACAAGTACATTATTAAATTTTGCTTTTTTAAAAAAAAAATTCAAATCTTTCCTTTCTTCACATTAAATAATTGCTGAGTTTATAATACCAAATTATTGCTTGTCAGTCAGAATCTATTTCTTGTCAGACTCTATCTCACTTCCTTTAAATATATTATTTTTTCCCCCTCTGTCAGTTGTCTTAACAACACAATTTTAATCATGATCTTATGATTTCTACTTAATACTTCCAAACTACTCGTTTAATAAAGATACATGCCCTTCTCTACTGCACTACATCCTCTTGAAAAAAATATCCTCAAAATGATGTGACCCCTCCCGTAGTGAGGCTATTACCCCCACCCCATAATTAGGATGCTACCCCCCTCCGTTAGGATATTATCCCACACCTCCTGGTTAGGCTGTTACCCCCACCCCCTTGGGCTGCTACCCCCCAAGTTCCTATTTAGACTGTTACCCCCCCTCCTAGTTAGACCCCCCCCCCCCCCACCTCCTAGTTCCGACTGCTTCCCCCCCCCCCGCCCCAATAGTTGGGCTCCTATTCTCCCAGCTCCCAAGGCTGCTGCAAAGCAGGTTCTTTCAAGGCACATGACATATAAGATCCACTTGAATGAGATCACAGCATGTAAGTTGATCTTAACAGTTGTGTGTGATACAAGCTGTGATTGCTCGGGCAACACTCTATGTCCCCCAAAGATACGAGGAGGGCCGCAACAGTGAGTCTCAAATTATGTTGTTGTTTTTTTAAAGGTGGATAACAATCACCAAAATTTAAGGGCAGAGACTGACGGTGGCAGAGACTAACGGCCAGTTAACTAAATGAAAGCATACAAGTGAGTTTGTCTAATAAGTTGAACTCCTATTCAATATTCAAATCTTTAAAACAAATAAAAAAGAACATTTAATCATTTCTAACTTTCCCTATGAAATAAATCAGATTTAAATATGTTGCAAACATTAGGGCCCAGTACAATTTATAACTTCATTTAAAATGGCTATTTCATTGTGCATAATGGACATGGCTATTTCATTGTGCATAATGGACATGGCTATTTCATTTTGCATAATGGACATGGCTATTTCATTGTGCATAATGGACATGGCTATTTCATTGTGCATAATGGACATGGCTATTTCATTGTGTATTTTGGACATGGCTATTTCATTTTGCATAATGGACATGGCTATTTCATTGTGCATAATGGACATGGCTATTTCATTGTGCATAATGGACATGGCTATTTCATTATGCATAATGGATATGGCTATTTCATTGTGCATTATGGATATGGCCATTTTATTGTGCATTATGGACATGGCCATTTTATTGTGCATTATGGACATGGCTATTTCATTGTGCATAATGGCTATGGCTATTTCATTGTGCATTATGGACATGGCTATGGCTATTTCATTTGCATTACAGATACTGAAATTGTGTCATGAATGATAATGGCTCAATAAAATTAATAGCACATCTCCTGGAGAGACAAATAGCCCAACAATTTCAAAATCTTTCACCCAATGCTCAAAACAAATTACTGTGAACAGTATATTCAATTGCACCCCTGAAATAGTGTTGAAATGACGTAATCAGAACCAGTGGTCCTTTTGGCTTGACTTCAGCTTCCACATTCTATTTGCCTTATAGTAATCATTTGGAAATCAGTTACCAGTAGATGAAAAAAAAAGAATGAAAAAAGCCAAACTATATTTTATTTATCCAATTACCTGTAGATGTAACGGAATATTAAGTTAGGCCTGTTTGGCCAGGTGCCAACATTGAAAAAATAAGAGTAGCCACCCTCAAACATGAAAGATATGGACTTTGGTATGCTCCTCCAGTGACTGAAAGTCAGGGAGTGAGGGTGTCAGGGAGTGAGGGTGTCAGGGAGTGAGGGTGTCAGGGAGTCAGGAAGTTAGGCGTGCAGTGAGTCGCCCAATGAAAATAGCACAACCAGTTATGAAATTATTTTTTGTGATGCTTTTAAGACAGCCAGATATTGGCTAGAAATATTCAATATTGCTATGTAACATGTCTAAGTCTAAGTATTGGACTCAAAACTCCCAGCACCTAAACACTCCATGTAACATCCAAAAGAAAAAAACACACAACAGCTTGAAAGTTACACACACAAGAGCTTGGAAGTTAAACACACAACACCTTGGAAGCTAAACACACAACAGCTTGAAAGTTACACACACAAGAGCTTGGAAGTTAACACACAACACCTTGGAAGCTAAACACACAACAGCTTGGAAGTTAAACATACAATAGCTTGGAAGTCAAACACATCAATTTGATAACTACATGGGTGAAAGATAACTTTGAAAGATGAAAAAAAAACACAAATGGACATCAACAATGAGAATATGCAAAATAAAAATATTTCAATAAATATTGATTTTGGGAGACATAGAAAGAACACTTTGACTAGATGCAAAACTTATGAACTACTTCCAAGAATGAACGAGATAAAATTTATGAACTACTTCCAAGAATGAACGAGATAAAATTTATGAACTACTTTCAAGAATGAAAGAGATAAAATTTATGAACTACTTCCAAGAATGAAAGAGATAAAATTTATGAACTACTTCCAAGAATGAAAGAGATCAAATTTATGAACTACTTCCAAGAATGAAAGAGATCAAATTTATGAACTACTTCCAAGAATGAAAGAGATCAAATTTATGAACTACTTCCAAGAATGAAAAAGATAAAATTTATGAACTACTTCCAAGAATGAAAGATATTAAACTTATGAACTACATCATAGAATAAAGATATTAAACTTATGAACTACCTCCTAGAATGAAAGATATTAAACCTATGAACTACGTCCTTAGAATGAAAGATATTAAACTTATGAACTACGACCTAGAATGAAAGATATTAAACTTATGAACTACATCCAAGAATGAAAGATATTAAACTTGTGAACTACGTCCTAGAATGAAAGATATTAAACTTGTGAACTTCATGCAAGAATGAAAGAGATAAAACCATGCAAAGCCAGCTAACCTGTATACTGTAAGATACGGCCTACAGCTAACCTGGCCGTGTCAATCATGAAAACGCTGCACGTCCAGAAATCCCACAGCAGTTCAAACTATCCACAACAAACTATCCACAACAAACTATCCACAACAAACTATAACAAACTATCCACAACAAACTATCCACAACAAACTATCCACAAACACTGTCGGCTGGTGGCAGTGAATGCAATCAGCAGTTTCACGTGTAGGAGGGACGGGGGGAAAGAATAGTTACAACTGCCCCCTCTCTCTCTCTCTCTCTCTCTCTCCCTCACCACGGTATCAGTTTATCTAATACGGAGAGAGACCTTCGGTAACTGAAGGGAAAATTGTGGCGGGGTCTAACTCAATAGCCCTCCACACACAACCCTCCCCTCCTCTCCCGGGGCCTCTGCCCACCACCCCTCAACAATGTTGCATCCGGGACATTCCCCCCCCCCCATCTGCTCTCTCCCAGCCACGGGTGATGCGTGGCCCCTGGAGCCCCCGTGTCATTTTTAAAAAAAAAGTTTTGTCTTTCACATCAGGCTCATGACAGCCCACCCCCATAACCCCAACTCTCCAGGCCTCATACGACAGACTCAACAAGTCGACTCCTGGCCATGACACTTATGACATGGCAAGAAACCTCGGTAGAACTGACAGCAACCCCCCCCCCAACAAAACAAAAAAAAAGAAGTAATCATGTTATTGGGTTGACACTTGCGTTACAGAAGAGTAGTGGGTGCAGTAACGACGTCCACTTAACTTTCCCACCCCCCCAACAAAACAAAAAAAAAGAAGTAATCATGTTATTGGGGTGACACTTGCGTTACAGAAGAGTAGTGGGTGCAGTAACGACGTCCACTTAACTTTCCCAAGCAGCACCTACTCCAGTATAATAATACAAATCAATGTTTGAATACTGTACACGTTTCAATATATCCATGCAATGCGGTTGCTGGGACAGCGGTTCTTAAATTAATGCTTTTGAACCCTTGGAGCAGCGGTTCTCAGCGTGTGGTTCACGGCCCCTTTGAAAAAAAAAACGGGTGGGGGGTGGTGGTCGAACGACCCTTACAGGGGGGTTGCAATAGACCATCCGAAAACAAATATTTATGAAGTAGCAACCAACATAATTTTATGGCTGGGTGTCAGTCACCACTAGCATGAATAGTTGTATTCAAGGGACGCGGCATTAGGAAGGTTGAGAACCACCGCCTTGGAGGTTCGGAGGCTAATTTTGGGCCTAATTTCCACGTATTATGACCCAGTGGGTCAATTAAGCCTTCATCGGCGAATGAACAACAGTAAAAACAGAGTGACTTATTTTTAAAATAGCATTTAGACTTAGGTGGAAAGGAATATCCGACAGAGCAGCAAAAGAATTGGGGGAAAAAAAAAAAAAAAGGGGGGGGGGGGGGAACCCTGCACGAAAAGTATGAATAGAATTTAGCGTATCAAGTTTTGTGTGTGTTATTTTTCAAGTCCACGCCAAGAATAAATGGCATTGACACCAACGGCTCCCAGGTGACGGCAAGGTGGACAGTTCATCGGGAGCGCACACACGCCCAGCGGCACCAGCGCTGTCCAGATGGTGCGCGCGGCCCAGGAAGTGATTGTTGTTGGTGGACAGCTGCAGTCAAGATTGAGCCGATGCCCAACACATGTCTTAATACTGGAACGCTTCGCCCCTATTAGCTCAATATATCCCAATTTTACCAAAACCACCTCCAAACACCAATTTAAAAAAAATAATAATCATTAAATAAATAAAAACTGTAACAATTAATAATGAATTAATTAAACAACAATTCATTGTTTACTCCATGCAACTAATAAAATGGATTCCATTGTTGCTCTCAATAGCTCATGATAACCAGAGTTGTTGTGCTACTATTGCAACAAGAGCCAGATTGAGATGAACTGCTGCAACAAGAGCCAGATTGAGACGAACTGCTGCAACAAGAACCAGATTGAGATGAACTGCTGCAACAAGAGCCAGATTGAGACGAACTGCTGTAACAAGAGCCAGATTGAGACGAACTGCTGCAACAAGAGCCAGATTGAGACGAACTGCTGTAACAAGAGCCAGATTGAGACGAACAACTGTAACAAGAGCCAGATTGAGACGAACTGCTGTAACAAGAGCCAGATTGAGACGAACTGCTGTAACAAGAGCCAGATTGAGACGAACTGCTGTAACAAGAGCCAGATTGAGACGAATTGCTGTAACAAGAGCCAGATTGAGACGAACTGCTGTAACACGAGCCAGATTGAGACGGACTGCTGTAACAAGAGCCAGATTGAGACAGATGTGCTTCACATTGATTATATTTTATTCTTACAATTCGTATCCTAGCGACACCGCCCACCCCTTTACCCAAGTACCGGTGAGCGGGAACAAAAATGTCAGAGGAAGAAAAAAGTCACAAATTTTGTTAGGAAAAAAAAGTCAAAAATTTTGTTAGGAAAAAAAGTCACGGGGGAAAGTCTCAATAACTAGAGCGCTAACTGTCAGCAGAACATTCACATATTTTGAACACATTTAATCCACGATCATATAATATATTATGAAGACATTTAATCCACGATCATAGAATCTATTATGAAGACATTTAATCCACGACCATATAACATATTAACAACACATTTAATCCACGACCATATAATATATTATGAAGACATCTAATCCACGATCATATAACATATTATGAACTCATCTAATCCACGATCATAGATTAACAAACCTACAAAACTATGGCCGCCGTCCACACAGACAAACACGTTTGTCCAATCAATGTTGAACTCTCATTGATCTCATCCTAACACTGGCGTGTTGTTGCTGTAGTTTTGTATGTATTATTCCAAATGAATGTGAATGAACTCCGGGTGTTGTGTGAGTACCCTTCCCCCCCACCCCCTTTTTTCCCAAGTCTTGGCCATGGGTTATATCCAATAAGAATACATTACCAAATAACATAGTTGTACACAGAAATGCAAGCTTTTTTTCCCCGAAATGAAACGAACCCTTCAAAATACCATTACAAACCCGACACCAGACTCATCAAGTCTTCTGCTGTGAAACTCAAAATCTGATCACATCCTGCATCAATAAAACCTATGTGGTGTAGACAAACACTATGGCGAAGAGTAGTTTATTTTATTATTTTTTTTTACTGCACTGCCTCACCCCCCATCGAAAGTCTCCACGCCAAATGCTCTACACTGCCTCACCCCCGATCGAAAGTCTCCACGCCAAATGCTCTACACTGCCTCACCCCCGATCGAAAGTCTCCACGCCAAATGCTCTACACTACCTCACCCCCGATCGAAAGTCTCCACGCCAAATGCTCTACACTGCCTCACCCCCGATCGAAAGTCTCCACGCCAAATGCTCTACACTGCCTCACCCCCTGATCGAAAGTCTCCACGCCAAATGCTCTACACTGCCACAAGACCGCACCACAACGTTTTCAATTGTTCGTGGCCATGTTTCCAGTGTTGAGGGGCTCCCCGTCTGCCAAACAAATTGCCACATTTGCAAAGCGCAATCTCTGTCCATTATATGCTGGAGTGCCCTTTCGTATCAGACAGCTCCTTCCTAGCCAATTTATCTCAAAGTGAAATTGCTTGGAATAAAAAGGGGGGGGGGAGAGGAGAATAACAGTGGCCGCCATTGTATCGCAAGCCATGAATCAACTTACTTACCCCGTGGTGACGCTATCAAAATTGAATACAAGTTATAATAGAAGATTATGCCCCTCCCACCCCCCCAAAAAAATAAATATCGGAGATTACTGGCAATAGTATCAAATTGTGTCAATGACATCAGGTTGGGTGTTTGGTATGTGTATATCC